CCAGACCTTTGATCAATTTGCGAACATGTTCATCAATCACTTCACTGCCAGCAGAGCTCCCCGAAAGACTAACCATCATCTCCTAACAATTAAACAAAAAATAGGAGAGTCACTAAGAGCCTACATAGCAAGATTTCACAATGAAGCCGTGCAAGTAGAACGATTGGACCAAAGCATGGCAATGCATGCTCTAATGGACGGACTTAAAGACTCAAGTTTCTATAGATCTCTAAACAAGCGAGAACCCACCAGCCTTAATGATCTCTTAAGAAGGGCGGAAGGATACATCAGAGCAGAAGAAAGGGCGGCAATAAAAGAAGCACAAGAAACATCAAATTCAGAAAGAAAGCGGAAAATAGAAAAAGATATAGATAATGAAAGTACCAAAGACAGAAAACAGTCAAGATACAACTACCTCCATATTTGAAGAAGCTTTGTTACAATCACATTCAACCACATCAAATGATGAATCAAATTCTGCATTTGTAAGGCAAGATAGACATCTCAAAATTCTACATGCACAAATCTTAAAAGAAAGCTGTAATCCCAGCTAAGTATATTTACTTTTTAATTTTCTAATTTTCAACCCCAATAATCATGCAAGTTATTGTGTTTTTAAGAAAACTAACCTTTCTCTTGAGAAACTTTTGGGAGAAGGCCACATAGGCTAAAAAGCTCCAAGCAGAGGAATTCAATTACAAGATGCACAACTCTAACAAGAGTTAAGAGACAAAAAGTCACAAAGCAAAAAAGCTGCGAGCAAGTTTGGATGTACATAAATATCCAAGCAAAAAGAAGCTGTGAGCAAGTTTGGGTGTACATTAAAATACCCAAGCAGAAGTTACACAGACAAATAATAAAGCTGCGAGCAAGTTTGGATGTACATAAATATCCAAGCAAAAGTTACGCAAGTGAAGAAGCTGTGAGCAAGTTTGTGTGTACATAAATACCCAAGCAGAAGTTACACAGACAAGCAAAAAGCTGCGAGCAAGTTTGGATGTACATAAATATCCAAGCAAAAGTTACGCAAACAAAGAAGCTGTGAGCAAGTTTGGGTGTACATAAATACCCAAGCAGAAGTTACACAGACAAGTAAAAAGCTGCGAGCAAGTTTGGATGTACATAAATATCCAAGCAAAAGTTACGCAAGTGAAGAAGTTGTGAGCAAGTTTGGGTGTACATAAATACCCAAGCAGAAGTTACACAGACAAGCAAAAAGCTGCGAGCAAGTTTGGATGTACATAAATATCAAAGCAAAAGTTACGCAAGCAAAGAAGCTGTGAGCAAGTTTGGGTGTACATAAATACCCAAGCAGAAGTTACACAGACAAGTAAAAAGCTGCGAGCAAGTTTGGATGTACATAAATATCCAAGGAAAAGTTACGCAAGCAAAGAAGCTGTGAGCAAGCTTTAGGTGTACATAAATACCCTGACAAAAGCTATGCAAGATGCGCCACAAAGAATTGGACACTTCAAGACAAAAGCAGCAAAAGGGATAAGTTCTTTCTTCTTTTTTAATATATATCATAGCATTCTTAAACTAACAACACATGTTTATCATACCTTTGCTCTTCCCTCGTATCTAAATAAGATCAACCTTAGCATACAAGCAGCAAGAATCCAAAGTACCAATGAGTTGCAGAAAACAGACAGACAATGGGAACTAGCATCATAAACCTGAGCAAAATTAAAGAACGGAATTAAAGCAGTACAACCCAAATGTTTTTTCAAAAATAAATGTTCTTATATGCAGGTTCAACAAGAGGTCTGAAAAGCTGAGCATTTAGAGAATAAGGGGTACCTTAAGAACCTCCGCATTCACAAAACTACTCCAAACTGTGAATAGCTATAACAGAATCCTCTGATCCTCAAAAGCTGCCCAATCCTTACTCTACTTCAACCAGAGATCTGCCCAAAGGAACATGCATTGAACCTTAATCATAAACTTTCTTCAACTTTGGATCAATTTAAACCTACACAACAACATCCATGCTCTCAAACTCAGAGATGCCATCAAGCACAATCAACTTAGCAAGGGACTACATCTCTCTCACATTCTTGACAACAAGCTCCGACTAGGAACCCTTGAGCTGGGCCTTGTGAAGATTTTGATCCAATATACTCTTCTTTAATGACCTTCAACTCCTTCTCACAATCTCAATCTGCGAATTTCTCCAACCACGCACACTCACGCTCCTTGGCTTCCTCCTCATGCTGGCAATTGTAGCATCCCAAGCAGCGTTCCCTGTCTCACCTCCTTTCATGATCTCGCAGTTGGAATTGGGGGAGCGTTTGGAGGAGTCGGAGATAGAAGGATTGAGGCGATGAAGGTGGTGTTGTTCTTGGATGCAGCGCTCCTAAAGGCATTGGAGGACCAACTGCTCTCTCTTTAGTTAAGAAGACAGGCTTGGGAGAAAAAATCGTATGAACCTCCATTGGAAAAGGAAGGGTCACAGGATCCCTCTCCACATGGCGTAAAGCACCCTTCACAACAAACTTCCCATCTGCATTATTAGGAAAGGCAAAAAATATCAAAGAACTTCGGCTCAAAAGGAAAGGGAAGGATACCCACATCATCGATGAAAGAACCAACGGAAGCAAAGACCGAAACAGAGCCAGAAGCAGAAATCGGAACAGAGCTGGAGGTAGAAATTGAAATGGAATTGGAAGCAGAGATCGAAACAGAGCTAGAAGCAGAGATTGGAACAGAGCCGGAAGCAGAAATCGAAACAAAACCAAAAGCAAAAGGATTAACAGCCATCACAAGACAACCGGCGTAACCAAAATCAAAGAAGTCTTTCTCAAAAGGAAGAAAACAAAAATGAAATCAAAAAGAAGTTAAAAAGAAAAGGAAGAATCGGGAAACCCAAAAAGAAAAAGAAATAAAAAAGAAGTCAAACAAAAAAGAAAAGGAAGAATTGGGAAACCCCAAGAAAGCCCCAGCCAAAAGGATAAATTGCATAAAATCCCAAAGAAATAAGGGTTTGAACCAAAAGGACCTGCTGTACCAGCCAAGCCGCACAATGGGGGCCACATGCATAAAAAAGGCTGCCAAAAAGTAGAAAATTCTGAAAATGCAGTCGTAAAAATGTGGAAAAATCAAGAAAGGACCTGAACAAATCTACAAAGTAATTAATTTCAAACAGAAACTTTTAATAAACTGTGTCAGGAATTACGAAGAAAAAACTTGTGCTGCACTCTTTTTTTCTTAAACTAGATTTTTATCCTATAGGGTTTTTTCTAGTTAAAGTTTTTAACGAGGCAGTCATAGTTAAAAAGCAAGAATTTGTGCAGAATTCAAAATCAAGATCAACAGAACAAAAAGACAGACACTTGTTGAAGTTTTCGTTATCCTCAAACTTCTTTGTTGGGGGGCAAATGTTATACCCTAAAAGCAAGTCCTATAATAATTAGGATATGTGTAGACAATCTAGAGATAATCCTATCGATGTAAGGATAGAATAAATCCTGATAGGATAAGAATACCCAAACACCAATTAAATAAAATTGTATTCTTAAAATAACTGTATTTAAGCATTTTATAAATACCTCTAGGATCAACCTACGGAAGTAGATTATTTTCCACTATCATTCTCCCTCTATTGTAAACACTCTCTATCAATAAAGTTCTTGGT